TTTTTTTTTTTTTTTTTTTTTTTTTTTTTTTTTTTTTTTTTTTTTTTTTTTTTTTTTTTTTTTTTTTTTTTTGTTTTGTTTTGTTTTGTTTTGTTTTTTTAGGATAGTCTAACTTATAGTTGTGCGTTTGAGGGTTGAGGCTTTGGGGGACTTTTAGGGACAGGATTATTAGGGTGGGGATTTGGGATGTAAATAGGGCTTACATACGGGCCCGCCTCATGTTAGTTTTTACACTGCAAATAAAAATCATGTGATTGCCTCCAGTTGGGCAATCCTCATGTTAATCCGCGACAATTCTTACGAAAATAACGATATTTTATATTTCATCCAATGAGAGACGAGATTTGTGTTCATCCGATAGTAAGCTGTGTAAATCTCCTGTCTCAATATAAATTCTATTTTATTTTTTTTTTGTATGATGATAATATATAATCAAAAACATATTCCTAGTTCATCCTAGTTCATTTTCTGATTTCGGAATTTAAACAGAAATAGGAGCTTCTAGACTCCCATTTATTTTCGAAATTAATTAATTCAGGATCACCCTATTGGAGTACTTAAATTATATACACCTTTAACATTATAAGCTTTGCGATAAACAAAACGGATAATTTTTTTCCAGAAATATACACATTTAGAATTTTACCTGCGTCACATATTCGAAACTGCAAAAGAATATCGATATTAATATTCATTTTTATTGCCATATCCTTAACTTCAGATATATTAATCCCACCTTTTTGAACAGCATTTAACACTTTTAAAAACCTATCTTTTTTCTGTTTTTGTTTAGGCTTTTTAACTGCAAGAAAAGAATCTTTTGACCATTTTTTCTTTTTTAGCTTCATCAATTTCTTTTCTTCTTTCCGTTTAACTTTCATCTCAGCTTTAAATTTTATAAGGTTCCCCAATATTTTTTGATTTTGTCGCATCGATATTTCAGGCGTAGGAACGAATTTTGAATGGATGATACGACGAACTGATTCGGGTGATATTTTGAATTGTTGAGATAATTTTTTGGGTGTATTTTCTTCCGGTGACTATTAAAAAAATAAAATAAAAATAAAAATAAGAAATATATATTAAAGACAAATTCCTAACATATAACATTACCTGGTGATGCAACAGCCGAATCTTATCCATGACTTCCCTTGGAACTCTTTTTTTGGGATACCATTTCTGAAACATTGTTCTCTCTTGAATTGCATATTTATGTTTCAACCAATTCGGAAGATTTTCACGATCTCTCCAATTTGGGTCATAACCCTTTGGAAATGCATTTTCATTTTCCCAAACCTTTTCTACGTTTATAAATTTCACCCTCTTAATATTTTTCTGAATAGATGGAAGTGACGCATTATTTAATGCGGGAGGACCATGACTTCGTTTATTTATCATATTTAGTAAAAATGCTCGTCTACTTAATTTGGACCCCTGATGAAGAACATCTTGATTATTTACGTGATCAGAGAAAGATTTGGGGTTTTCTATTAAACGAGGTCTAACAGATTGATATTCTTTAAATGCGTTCTTTTTTGATATAAATTCTGAAAATCTTGAAAGTGGTTTGTCTTTTGATTTTGGGGCCGATTTTATCTAATTAAATACAAAGAAAGTATTAAACATAATAATATATAAAATATTATAGTCGTTAGGCGAAACCATTACATTAATGGCGAACGACGAAGTAACCTAAGCTCAGAAGAGATGAAGGACGAACTCTCCGGCAAAACTGTGAACCTCTGCAAAAAGCAATCCTCTGGAGAATGAATCCACCAAAATTCTAGTAAAAAGGAGTCTGAGTTATATCGCAAAAGAAAGTATTTCAATGATGTTGCGATGTGTGCAGCTAAAATAGTACCTTTAATTTATATCCAAATGAAAAATCCGACTTTTGGTTATTGCGTGTCAGTTTATATGTCAGTTTATATGTATGCAGTCTCACTTTTTGCCTAGGGTTTAAACTTTCATATGTTACGATTGATTTTAGCCGGATTAACATTAAAATAAAACCGGCTCCAAACTCTCGTAAGTTAACCACATTTCACCAATTTCGCAGTTAATCTTTGGCAACAATCGAAGTCAGATTTCGCCTTTTGCCAACATCAAAACTTTTACGGCTTCGCCTAACAACTAATAAACCGATATTAAAAATTAATTACCTGTTGTTTGGCTAAAAGTCTTTCTTGTTTTATTTTCTTGTTCCTTATTCTTTCAATTGCATTTTTAGCATTTATTGGACCTTTTAAGAAATCGCATTGGCCTATTTTAAAAATCGGTTTAGTATCTTTGATACTTAGTATTCTACTTGTAAGTCTAGATGCCATCCGAGAAAAGTGTATGAATCAAAGTTTGATAATCTATACGTATCGGTATACCGATCATAAATCATAATTTATCACATGATTTTCGTAGATTACGCAACAGGGGGAACCGTCACATCATTTGTAGATCTGTTACACAATTCATAAAAATTTTTTTTATATTGTTTTAAA